ATCTACTGTCAAGCTGGTGGATTTTCTTTTTGTAAAAGTGAGCGGGAGCATGTGTGTGTATGTTCCAGGGTGGCTTAAGGACAAAGTAAGAGGCTCAAAGCTCAGCACCGCTGAAAGACTGTCAGAGGAGACCGAAAGTACACTGAATCAACTGACAGAAGAAGAGATGGAGAGAATTAGGGAGAGACAAGCCGTTTCTGACGGATTTGCCCATTGAGAGAAGACTCAGTAAGTTACGCCACTTTCGAAAGTGGATATTCAGCGCAAAAACCCACATCTTATTTCCTAACCATCTGCCAGTTTAGTTCAACCAAGCTCTAAATGTGCTTAAATTGCACTGCACCATATTTATATTAAAGTGTCATGAAATGGAAAATCTTAATGTCTGATATTTACTCATATAAGACGGGCTGGGCAACTCTGGCCCTCGAGATCCACTTTCCTGAAGAGTGCCAGCTGTCTAGTAATCCTGAAGACCTTGTTTAGGTGTGTTGATTTAGGTTTAAAGCTAAACTCCACTGAAATGTGGATCTTGAGGGCGAGTTGCACACCCCATAAGAGGTTACTTTGCAATAAAAATATACTGCAAGTTTTATTCCTCAACGCTAACTCCTCAGTTAATTTTTGTTTTCCACCCTTCTGAAATGCCAGGATTTGAAATTGCCCAAGTCGTGATGTTATGAATGAATGTCCTCTACACATCCTCTACAGATATCATTTTATGATGCCTTTATGACCTTTTTTGATCTTCTAAGTTTTAATTTCAGGGGGGTGTGCTCTTAACAACTCAATCACAAGAGCGATACTGTGAGCAAGATGTCAGAATGTCTGATGTTGTTCTGTCCCTTGATGTAGACAAAATGCACCTCGAAAAACTGTTCATACCCTTTCAAAAAGTCTAATATGTCTATTAGAAACTATAAGAAATGCATGGATGAAGTTAAAAAAAAAAAAAAAACATGCCTGCGATTTACAAGAATTATTTAATGAGATTCTTTTCTTTATTATTCTCAACATGCTGCCATTTTTTCAGATATCAATTAATTATAGCAGTCTGACGAGTTATAATAATGTTTTTTTTTAAACGATACATGGCCTAGATAATAGATTTTAGCAAGTGAGGAATTATCATGCTGAAACAGACTTGCAAATTAAGGGTTAAATTGGTTTATTTTCTTCTGACTTGGGCTTAAACAAATATGCTTCTATAACAGCGCTAGCCATCTCAAACATCAAGACACATGTCACACATGCTGTGGAAGAGGACATACAGTGCAATGAAGTTCACCAATTACAGCAAGGGGCATTTTCTTGAGTTTCTGAGAGAGGTAATGCCCCTTCAAAGTGTTTTTGACGGAGTGAAAATGAGGGTGGCGATCATGACACGAGGATAATTGTTTTTTTTTTTAATTGCAAAAAAAAAAAAAAGTGATAATTTTTTAAGCTAACCACCAGGAACATGATATAAAGGTCTGAAAACGCATCTTATGACCTCTGTAATTGTAAATTGCAGAAAGCCAAAACCACGCCTCCTCCAAAACGCGCACAGCCAGAGCAGAGTGTGCAAAGCGTCATAAGAGTTAAATTACCTCATGTCTCAAAGCACATAACATTATAATGCTAATGAATGTAAACAACATAAAGAGTTCTGACTTGTACCACCTGACCACTGCAGATTAATTTCGGCATTGATAGTGTTTCCATAGAAAGGCATACATTTGGAGTTTAAGGACAGCTCCAAATAGAACGTCACGTTGCTATCTCTTAAAGGAATAGTTCACTTAAAAATGAAAAAAGAAGATATTTTGAAGAATGTCGTTAACCAGACAGCTGATGGACCCCATTGACTTCCATAGTAGGAAAATAAATACTGTCTGGTTACCGACATTCTTCAAAATATCTTCTTTTGTGTTCAGCAGAAGAAAGATATTCATACATGTTTGAAACAACTTAAGGGTGAGTTAATGATGACAGAATTGTCATTTTTACGTGAACTATTCCTTTAATTACGGTAGTTACGACATGGCATGAACTAAGCTTGTTGTTTTGGTTTAAGAAGAACTGTAAAAGGTGGCTGTTGTTTGTTTGCATTGCTTTGTGACTGTCTGTCTAAAACTCTGCATAGCCTCATGAAACGTGCTGATGATGTGTGATGTCTGCACAAGCGCGGAGGTAAACATAGGTTGACAGCCAGTAGGACATCCTAATGCATTTGGATCGAATGCAATGATTGGACAAACATTTTTGGGTCTGAGACAGCCACAGAAGATATATGCAATTTAAAAATATATATATTTAGACCACTTCTAACAACCAGTATAACAAAAAGTTTTTGTGAAAAATGGGGGGTGACGCGATATACCGGTATTTATGTCATGATAACCTTGATCTAAAAAAAAAGAAATATCGCTATTGTGTTAATTAGGGGTGTCGCAATATACCGGTAATATACCATGTACCGTATATATACCGTAATATTTTAAATGAATGGTACACGTATGATAATATAGCAGGTAAATTATCCAGCGCCAGTATCTGATTGACATCCCAGTGTGGCGGTATAGAGAGCAATATTTTTTTTCTATTTTTACCCAAAATAGGAGATGTGAGCGTTATGAAGCGCTAAACTTTTTCCAGTCATACTCAACGCGGAGGGCTTTCAAAAAGTACCCTTTCAAAAGTACACCTCTATACCTTATTTACACCTAAAGGATGCCTATTTAAAGGTACACATCCTAAAATGTTATATTACCTTTAACATACATTTAGTGTGACAGATTGTAGTAGTTTGCTGCATCCTCCACAACCAAGCACTCAGAACCGACCCACAAGAGGGCTGTGGGTCTGTTTGTGGTGTTCCCTGATTTGTATATTTACTTTAGTAAATGGGGCTCAGATAGCGTGTGCAAATAAATGGCATCTTCATTGAGTGCAATTCATTCTTAGTGAATTGCCCCTCAGCACGCCAGTGTGTGTTTGTGTTCGCTCATGATTTCAGAACCCTGATGAAGAGGGCTTTTGATGGTTTTATTAAGCCCTTGTGCTTTCGGCCCATGGAGTGCCAGGAGGGACACATTGCGGGTGTCTTTTCCTGCCTCCACTCTGGAATCTTTCCACAAGTGGAAAAGGCGAAGATAAGAAGGGAAAAGGCTTCCTCTTCGTCTCACAGAAGCCTGGTGACATCTTAATGTGTCTGTATCAACCGGCACTGGCAACGCTTGCATCCAGCACTCTCATTTCACAATCCAAATCAATTAAGGAGAATGAATCACTGTGCTATTATTAAAACTGTCAGATTCACTTCTTACTTACAAAGATGAAGAAGAAACAAATGAAGCGCCTGCTATCTACTCCTCCCTTTCCCCGAGGGCTCCCTCTTCAAGCATATTCTCTCCCAATGTCTCCTTTTTTTCTCTGTCTTTCATTCTCTTTTTTTCTTACTTTCGTTCTTTGTTCTCGTTTCGTTACCCTGCTTTTTATTTCAGTCCCCCTCTCTGCATTTCTGGTCGCTTCTTTCTTTTGCGCTCCCACCCTCTCCCCTAAATAATTTAGATTTTACAGTTTACTTGCTGACTGCCAAGTATCGCTTTATTCAGCCATGCACATATGCAAAACAGCGGGTGTGAACTTTAGAATTATATTTGCGACACTGGTCATTAGTATTTGCCTGCAATAATTATAGTACGGCAATAATGGGTTCCTCAACTGTGTATACACACACGCTGTTTCATTTCATTTCCTCTCTTTCTCACTTTTCGTGCCCTGCTGACACATCCAAAGTGACTGAGAGAAAGAAAGAAAGAGCAGGGAGGAGAGATGAACAAAGAAAGAGGGAGGAGAAGTACATCCATCATTTCTTCCCTGTGGTCAAATAAATCTTGTTAGGTCTGTAAAGGTCAGAGTTCACAGAGATTGCTTTGAGTTGTGTGTGTGTGTGAGAGATAGTATGAATCTGATACATCAGGTGTTAGTATGTCCCTGTGATTTCCCCGTGCTGCTGTTTGGGACGTGCGTGACACGGTCATGACCTGCGTCGGCAAACTGTCATAAGATTCCCTGATTCATGATGATGCTTTGCACAACACTGCCAACTCCATTTAATTCATAATTTTATTCAGCAAGAATAGAATGCACATTAAGATTTCTATTTCCAATAATTGCTGTTCTTTTGAACTTTCAAAAAAGGTTTTCAATATTGATGTTTCTTGAGCACCCAATCAGCATATTAGAATGATTTATGAAGGATCATGTTGACTGAAGACTGGAGTAATGATGCTGAAAATTCAGCTTTACCATCATAGGAATAAATTACATTTTAAAATAGAAAACAGTTATTTCAAATTTTAATAATGTATCACTATATTACTTTATTTTTACTTTACTGTTTTGATCCAATAAATGCAGCCATGGTGAGAATAAGAGACTTCTTTCAAAAACATATAAAAAAGTGACCGACTCTAAACTTTTAAACAGTAGTGTATACTGTATCTCCTAAAGAAGCGATGGTACAGGGCAGACCGGGGCAAGTTGTCACGGGAGGTTTTGAGTTAAAAGTCCTAAATTAAAGAAATGCGTGTTTACCTAACAGTTTTGAATGTTGGTTTAACAATTTTGTGAATTCTATTCTTCAAACTAAAATGTCAGTTTCATTATATCTTTACAATTTTGTAATATCTGTTGGATAAACAAGTGAACATAAAACCACTAGCATTATTCAGGCAAAGGTTGAACTGTGTTTTCAGGACAAGGAAATGTTTCATAAATGTCAGGTCGAAACAAAACCATGCCCAAAACAATGGTTTGATATTTTATGTTACTTTTTACATTTTTGTTGCCTGATGAATTGTTTTGTGTCTACCAGCTACTGGGGCAAGTTGTCACAAAAAGTAAATGAGTGTGCTGTGAACTGTATTTTAAGTGGAATTGATCAGTAGGGTTTTTTATTTTGTTTGTAAGTGCTCGTATATAACAAAGTTAATCTCAATTGTGTGTTGATCTAGGGGGTGCTATAGGCAGCAGAAGGCATCTCCATGAGGAGCGGTAGAAGATGCCGGAACTGCCAGCGCTCCTGCTGTCGATTTACTTCCGCTTCCTGTTAGTCACCGTGGTTACCATGCCGCCTTCTTCCCGGAGCCAGACCCCTGTTCTATCATCTGTACGGATGGGTAAGTCGCACACATTTAGACTTGTAATATGTGGTCGACGCGCCCAATATCTGACTGTGATTGTAAAGATCTCTAAACCAGTGGTTCTTAAATGGTTTTGCTTTAAGAACCAGATTTAATATTGGAAATTAAAGGAGCTGTATGTAAGAAATTTATTTCAATTAATCATAAAATGGCCCTGAAATGTCACTAGACATTTAGAAATCATGTGCATTTCAAATACTTATATCACTGACAACAGTAGTCTGGCCAGGATATTGTCATTTAAAAAGTGCAGTTGCAGCCCTCAACTGATGTTGATGTTGTCATGTTGTGTTTTGGTCTGATGCTCCACCCTCCACCTATCTACCAATCACGAAGTCAGTAGTGTTGCGGCATCCGGGTTGCCAGCTCTGCTCTAGTTACCACAGCTGCAGCTCGTCACGTTCCTGCTGGATCCTGCAGCCGATCTGGCAACCTCGAGTCAGGGAGGAGGGGGAGGGGATACACCACTCTACAGTAATTTGAAAGTGATTGCAGTACTAGTTTTGGCCACAATCTTACATACAGCTCCTTTAATTGGCATCAAAGTAACAATATTTTATTGCACTTAACCTAACTAAAATCTTTCAAATGTATTACTATGAACTGCATAAGTGGAACAAAATTATTAACACCAGTTGAATAGGAAAATTTACAATTTTTCTCTCGAAAATGTCCCTTAAATTTTAAGTTTTATTCATGGTTTTCAAGGATGAGGACCAAAATATTGTTATATACCTGTAGATAGAGTTGATTGGAAACATTTTCTCCCACCTTTTAAAAGTTTGCTGTTCTAACTATGCACAATTATTCAAAAGTTTAGGGTCAGTACAATTTTTTCATGTTTTTGAAATGAGTCTCTCATGCTCACCAAGGCCGCATTTATTTGATCAAAAATACAGTAAAAACAGTAATATTGTAAAATATTATTCCAGTTTGAAATCATTGTTTTCTTTTTTATATATATTTTAAAGTGTAATTTATTCCTTTGATGGCAAAGCCAATCTGAATTTTCAGCATCATTGCTCCGGACTTCACATGATCCTTCAGAAATCATTCTAATACGCTGATTTGGTGCTCAGGAAACATTTTTTTATTATTAATGTTTAAAACAGCTGTGCTGTTTTAAAAATATTTTTTTTTCAGGTTTCTTTGATGAATAAAGGTATTCCTTGCTGAATAAAAGTATTTTTATTTTTGTAAACAAATTGACCCCAAGCCTTTGAACAGTAGTGTACATGTTTAGTTTAATTTTATTATTTACATTGAATATTTTTTCCAGCTGACCTGTGACCTAATCAGAACAGTCCTGCAGCACATTTTGGAGTCGTGGCCCACCAGCTGAGAACCATTGATAATAACCAAAGTTATTACATTAGATATGCTATGAAATTCAGAATCATTATAAATAAACTGTATTATTGACTTTATTATTAATATTGGACATGGTTGATGGTTATTTTAAAGGAGTGATTTTAAATTAGAAAGGTTGTTATATATTACATTTATATAACTTTTACCCATTCTTGTCTTGATTTCTCTCTACTTTGTCTCTTGTCTCTCTTTCTTGTTCTCCTTCTCTCCACCTTTAGCGGCAATTTTGGATGACAGCTCTGTCTGTGGGCGTGGGGAGCGGTTAGCTTTAGCGTTAGCACGCGAGAACATCAACAGTGTGATGGAGGGCCCGGCTCGTGCGGAGGTCGACATATTTGAACTCCAGAAAGACTCTCAGTATGAGACTACAGATACTAGTGAGTCATACATAAAAAAAAGACACACACACACACATGCCTGCACACTTAACAAAAAATAACTTTAAAGTGAAGGAGTACAGCATACAGTGACTCAGAAAGGCAAACAGAGCGGATTTGAGGAATTAAAGGCCCACTGAAGTGCCTTGGAACGTCGTGTATGTATGCTTTGTATGATGCGTTGACGTAATTTCCATTGAAACAGGAAGCTAAGATGGGACATATTGAATGACTCCTCCCCCTTTGCAAATAGCCAATAGCGTTTTTTGACCTCACAGACTGCAAGTCGTGCTTGACAGCACTATGGAAGCGAATCCGAGTGCTGATGATACGTTGGATTCAATAGTAGAGGTGTGAATAAATACTAGCCATTTCATTTTTAACCAACATACAGTTGGAAAATGGAATAAAACTTGAGCGTTTGAGCAACCGAACACACATCTCCAACCCATATTGCTTCGTGACGTGTCAAAGGTCGTTTTGGCCAGGTGGTATTTATAGCAGAGGGGGGCAGGACACTTTATATTCTTGAGAGCATTTGATTGGACAAAAGATGTGATGAGAAGCTGAAGTCCGCGGTGATGTCATTAAAATCTGTGATCCATTTTAGCGGAAGTGAGAGACTGTAAGTTTTGAATGCCTATAACTCCTAAATAGGAATTTTGTCATTGTTTTGGAACACACCAGCTTATTCATACCACATATTCATACTAAAAGCTAAAAAACGTACATTTTGATTTCAGGGGGCCTTTAAATACTCTACATTTTTGTCGTAGTGTGCCAGATTCTGCCAAAGGGTGTGGTCTCTGTGATTGGCCCCGCCTCCAGTCCTGCCTCGGGCTCCATCGTCAGTCACATCTGTGGGGAAAAGGAGGTGAGCTTCATTTAAATATTCCACATTTATTTATTTCATGTTAATTCACTAACCATAATCTTTTTCCTTTTGTTCTTTAAACTGCTCTCTCTCAGATTCCCCATATCAAAATCGGTCCGGAAGAGACTCCGCGGCTTCCTTACCTGCGCTTTGCGTCTGTGACTCTGTATCCTAGCAACGAGGATCTGAGCCTTGCCATCGGAGCCATCCTACGCTCCTTCAGCTACCCATCGGCTAGTCTGGTCTGCGCTAAGGCCGAATGTGAGTCCAAAACCTCTGTTCTGCTCATCAGCTGGCCTGGTTTCCTTCGAGCTTGAATATGAAAAATTATTCCACATGGAGAGCAACACACACTTTAACGCACATGATACTTAAAATTAAGATTTAGAAGTCTTCAGAGAAAGGTTTTTTTCCCATTCATCCGAAAACAAAAAAGGCCACTGGCTTTAAAAAACCTGAACATTTTAATTGATTTCCATCTGCCCAATCAATCATCTTCTCTCAGCAAACGCTCAAGTTACAATATGTATTCCAGGCTGAGCAAGATAAAATTACAAAAGTTCTCAAGAAAAGACTCTGATAATGACACTGCAGTGCTTCCTTACTCCAAGCACTAACAATTACTTTGCTGTAATAGGTAGCTGTGCCAATAAAACATACTGCTGGGCAATTACGCAGCATGTCACTGGACAACATAACGTTAACGTTATCTGAGAATAAATCCCCACCCTGCTGCGTGTGTTAATGTGTGAGACACCGCCACTTACGCAGAGTGTGTGCATGTGTGTTTGTGCATTTAGACGTTCATGTGTTCAGAGAGGGCATCGCTACATAACGCTCAGCTCTGACCCAGTTGGCTGCACTATGGTTGCTATGGCAGCAGAGTAGGTGCAACTTGCCACTCATCAAGCTCATTTAAAATGGTGGCAAGAGATGGAGAGAGGCTCGCTGCTGCGCAACAGATTCTCGTTAAACAGATAGAAAGCCATTTCGCAAGCCTGTTTTGACACAAATGTTTTCATGTGTGTTATGCACAGGGATTTTGTAGTCAACCTCATTGCCTTAAATTTAGGAAACTGCCGTCTGATTCCGCACACTGTTTTTCTCAGGTGACCTCTTGTCAGACTGAAAAAGCATGAAAGGAATGACTAAACAAGTGCGTAAACACAGTCTAAGTCTTTATCAAAGCAGAATTTGACCATGATTTTCGTCTCCTGCACTCGTAAGCTCTCCAAAACTTAGCCAGCTGCCTTACTGTCTACGTTCTACATAAGTAACATGCTTTTGCATTAAATAAACCTGAGACACAGGGCAGTGGAATGAAAAATGCAAGGTATAGAGAGGCGTTTTTTTAAAGTTTAACTACTTTTAACTCTGCGTCATGCGAGAGATGCTGCAAAAGACGCAAGTCACAAGCGCAACGGTTAAACATGTCAGTTCACATGTTCACATCGAAAAACAATTGAAAAGTAGTGAAGTGTAATGCAAAAACAGAGACTGTGTGAAAGGCCTCTAAGTGTGATGGAACAGGTCTGCTAACACTTAATTTTGATGGTCCCCCAACAAGTAGTTGGAAAGTTACTTATAGTTAGTAGAATGTCTAAAGTGGACTATCAAAATATAGTGTAACCCAATCTTTCACCCTCACTTGGTTTAAAAATGGCTTCTGTGACACGAGCAATGCTTGATGCATCACTACACTTGACTATGGCTCTTTTTGCCTGTGAAATATCACAGAAATTTTGCCATTAGCTATATTTCCATCCAAAGTTGCAAATTTAACTTCAAATATCACTAAGAAAAATGCAAGTTTCTGCAGAAGCCACTGTATATAATATAATGTATATTTTATAAAAACTACTTGCGCCTCAGAGCGTGCAGACAAAACGCAATAAAGTTATCTTGCTTTCTGAAGCGGATGTCTGCTGTTTGGGAACGCAGACGTGTAAGACGTGCAGGAAACTATACTGAACCACTTTGACGACAGACTTTGCTCAGGCATTTCAGAATGATCAAAACAGCATTTCACATCTCTTTTTTTGATGCGTACTGAGGAATTTATTCGGTAATGTGTTTTAGCGGATACAAAATTTATCCAACTCAATTGAGCGCATATGTTTTATGCACATTTTTAGAATTGATGCGCATTTTGGCTTTTCCATCCAGCATTTTTTTTATGCGATATCTCAAAATGTGCATACAAATAGGTGGATGGAAACGCCAAAATACGCTTAAATTTGTACAATAAAAAACATAAAAAACGTATGCGCTCAATTGAGTTGGATACAGCTATTGTGATCACATCTTAGTAAGCAAAGAGATAAATAGTACACACAAATATTACATTAAAATAATCAATGTTTACTAAAACAGAACTATTTTCATTAACACTTTCAGTAAGTTTGTGTATAATCAACTATCTTGCATTGTCCACCATCGTGGATTGATTTATTCACTAAAGCACACTAATGGGTAACACTTTACAATAAGGTTCATTAGTTAACATTAGTTATTGTATTAACTAACATGCACTAACATTGAGGAATACATTTGTTACTGTATTTATTAATCTTTGTTAATGTTAGTTCACAGTGCATTAACTAATGTTAACAAATACAACCTTTGATTTAAATAACGTATTAGTAAAGGCTGAAATTAATATTAACTAATGAATAAATGCTGTATATGTGCAGTTCATTATTAGTTCATGCTAACTAAGGTAGTTAAATAATGTTAACTAATGAACCTTATTGTAAAGTGTTACCCATTAATGAAACTTTAGGCACATTAATGAAACCTCTATTTTGGATGTATTTCTTCACTGTGCTCAGTACAATTGTGGGATTTCCTTTTTTGTTTCCATAGAATTTAGGCATCTCATAGTTAAATGGCTACCGTTTAGAACAGGTTTTGCATTGGGAAAATGCCTATGATGTCCTACAATTCTGGCAGCTCGCTAGGTTTTGGAACTGAGCTCTAGTCACTGTCACACATGAGTCATTAAGCACAAGGCTGGTCTGGGTCTGATAATGTTTGTTTCAGTGTCACAGCACTGGTCTCTGGTGGAAAACAGAAGATCTGAGAAAGACAGTGAAATATCGAGAAAGAGCCAAATTTAGTGAAATGAAGTGAACAGAAAGGGCGAAAATCAGAATGATCGAGAGAAATCAGTGAAGGAAAGACAGAAGAAGGGTAGAGAACGAGAGTGTGGAGAGCATTGATTTCTCTCCTCCCTCAAGCTAATTAAAGTTTGGCACTGGCTTTACTGGCTCTTTCTGTGCATGCAGGCTCCCTTGAGAGCGCAGCCAGTTATTTACATTTTCACTGGGCTTTGTGTTGCCACCGACTTCACAGCAGCGTTGCAAACGGACAGATGCATGCTGTTAACAAACAACCTCAGACACAAACCATACATGGAGCCGGATTTGGCCCTTAATTCCAGTGGGGTGTTTGTGTGTCTAAATGCTTCCGGCCAACAGCTCGCTTTCTTCCCCGCAGGTCTGTTGAGACTGGAGGAGCTGATAAGGCGTTTTCTGATCTCTCGAGAGACGCTGTCAATCAGGATGCTGGATGACAACCTTGACCCCACGCCTTTACTGAAGGAGATTCGTGATGACAAAATAGCCACAATAATTATTGATGCTAACGCATCTATTTCTTACCTTATACTGAAAAAGGTAAGCGTACAGTTACATTATCTAAATGATGTTGCTTTGGCTCATTTCACATTCATTCATTCTCTTGTCTTCGCCCACCTCAATCGCTCACCTTGCAATTCAGCTTTGTTCAATATACCTGCATTTTAATGTATAGATAGACACTATAAATATCATAATTCTGCTCAAGGACTATTCCTTAATGAGCACAAAAAATGTTCTGCTTTTTACATACTGACATTTGTTTAATTGTCTCTTTCCTCTTGCCTGTCTTTTTAGGCATCAGAGTTGGGAATGACATCTGCGTTTTACAAGTACATCCTCACGACTATGGTAAGATAGAGGAGGAGTTCTTGGCCTATTTTCCTGTAGATATATTCATGCCTGGAGCCCTATCTTTTGTATTAACAATTCATCTTTATTACGCAAACCCGCTCACACTTCTCAAGCCAGCCCCCTCACAGCTTGAACTGCATTGCATACATTTCTACTGTATAACCTACAAACACAACTCACACCTATTCTACACTACTAAAACATATAGTACTAGTCTAACCTACCGATATTCAGCTTAAGGCTGGAATCCACTACACAAATCGCAACACATTTTAAAACACTAGGGATCAGACACTTGCTGATTTTGTTAATGTTTACAGAAAAAAAACTGGACATTATACATTTAACGACTGAGGATCACAAACTACCAGACTTTTAAGTCGTTCTGAACACACGCAGATGCATGTGCCTTGTTGCTTGGAGACAAATGAAAATGTTTTTAAATTGGCTCAAAATAGGTCTGAGTCTGTGCTTATCATACACTGTGATTTTCTGTGAAATCCGTCAACTCAGTAAATCATGTCATCTTCACCTTATGCACTCTACTGAAAACTCTAGTTACTAGTCTAATCGAACACTTCACTGAACCATACATACGCTACTAAAACCTCTAGTCAGTAGTCTAACGTATCACTCAAATCTAAAGGCCACACTAAACTGACATCAAAGAACTAGCATAGATGAAAGCCTACTGTGGTGCCGCCTCATGTCAGCTGTGTCTGGGTCAAAAACTTGCGCTTGAACGCATTGTAAAGACTACAGCCAATGAGCACAAACGTTCTGTCTTCATTAGAGGAAATAACTCTTCATACCAAAAGGTTGAAGTATTCTGTATTCATCATTCAAAAAGGGAAGGAGCTAGGACTGCAGATATACAAACCGTATATCGTTTGCTTGATTTCATTAGTTCTGTTTTTCTCCTCGAGCACTGGTTCACAAAGCTGAAAAGCCAACCAGAGTGGTTTCTCTCATCGAAGGGCTCCGCCGCAAATTCAACATGCTCAATCATCCAAAAAGATGCCAACGGGGGTCCAACTAGTGCCAGCGGTGCAGAACACACTGCAAATACTTTTTCCACTATTGAACAATATTATGATAGTCTACTAGTCTACCCAAACAAACGTTACTCAAACCTTGCAGGCATTTCTGAAACCTTTAGGATACGTTCAGACTGTCAGTCCAAATACGATTTTTGTGCATATCAGATTTAGCTAGTGTAAACGGACAGAAATCACATGAAATCCGATTTTTTAAAATCCGTTTCGAGCTACATTCATGTTTTTTGAAATCCTATTCAAATCCCATTTCTGGAAATCCGCTTCAGCTTGACTGCTCAGATCATATTTCACGTGGCTTATGTGACTTTCTCACGACATGTAAAACGTAAACATCAGAAGTTTATAAATTAGTAAACACTGTTACTTTGGTTCCCTGTTCGTCATATTTTAAAATAGGAGGCTATTGTAAATCCACCTCTTCACCATACTGATCCACTCAAATACCAATTATCCAGTACTATTCACTACGCTGATCTGAGCTCTATGTCTATATATATATATATATAAAATAAACCTAATTGTTCTTTAAAATGTCTAATACACACACACTAATGTTCCCGCTTGTCATTCCTGTGTGTGTGCAGGACTTTCCGTTGCTGTGGTTGGATGATATAGTAGATGAGCAGTCAAACATCGTGGGCTTCTCAATGTTTAACACCACTCACCCGTTTTACCTGGAGTTTATCAGGAGCCTAAATCTGTCCTGGAGAGAGGGCTGTGACATTAACCCGTACCCCGGACCAGCGGTAAGACGCACAAACACAAAAAACTATCAATGTATAACACACAGAGTGCTCACCCTAAACTCTCTGTGTGTGTGTGTGTGTTCAGCTGTCGTCGGCCCTGCTGTTTGATGCGGTCCATGTGGTGGTGAGTGCAGTGCAGGAACTCAACCGGAGTCAGGAGATTGGCATCAAGCCTCTTAGCTGCACCTCCCCTCAGATCTGGCAACACGGAACCAGCCTCATGAACTACCTGCGTATGGTCAGTGTGTGTGTGTGTGTGGGAGTGTTTGTGTGTGTGTGTGTGTGTGTGTGTGTGTGTATGGGTAAATTCAATTCTACTTGAAAGTCCTCCAGGAATGTTTTCTGCTTAGAGAGCACCCATTGTGTTATTAAAAGTAACAGCTGTTTCTATTCTCTTTCTCTCTCTCTCTCTCTTTAATGTTTTGATCAGGTGGAGTATGATGGCTTGACAGGTCGAGTTGAGTTCAACAGTAAAGGCCAGAGGACCAATTACACCCTCCATATCCTGGAGAAGCACAGGGGAGGCCACAAAGAGGTTAAAGGCACATACATACACATTTACTTAGATATCTAATTGGGGACATTCCATAGACTTCCACTGTTTTTATATACAGTAACCCTAAGGCCCGGGTCTACTTAATTTTCTGTGTTCCACTCCGTCTTCCGCACAGTTGAACGTGCAAGCCTTTCAAAGTATTCTCCTTTGGCCGTGAGCGTGGAATCACTCAAGTCACTCGCACATGCGCTGTTGTACATGCAACGTCCGTGTGGTCACAAAAAATAGACTGCACACGGACGGGGTGTGTGGACATCCGCGGACCCCCCTGATGATGAAAATTACGTCACGCGGATGGTACGCGGACGTCCAAAGTATACTTTGGCCTTAATCCTGACAATAAAATTTCTACATTTTCACAATTTGTAAAAAAAAAAACAATAAACACACAGGACACACACACACATATTTCGAATAGTGCCACCATCGTTGTTTTGTTTCTGTGTCTCTGTGTTAGATTGGGATCTGGTACTCTAATAACACTCTGCTGATGAACTCCACCAGTCTGGACATCAACGTCTCTGAGACTCTGGCTAACAAGAGCCTCATCATCACCACCATACTGGTGAGAACCAACTGCACCACAGCAGGCCCAAATAGCCCACTCATGTTCACAGGAAGCTTACCACATCTACATCAGTAATTCCTGTCCTAAAACTTAAGCTCTTAATTATTTACACAATAAAAAGACAGTTTACAGCATGTCTATCATGATAGAAAGAACAGTCATTACTAAGTGAGGAATTCACAGATCATTAAAGCTTAAATTATCATTTCATTTTAACAAAATTATTCAAAAGATATTTCAAAATATAGACATCAATTCATGTAATTTTATCTAACATGATGGTGTGTTTTAGAGTGTGAGACAAACAAACTAACATGACAAAACATCACAGAATAAATCAAATCCCTCACTAAAATTTGCTTATATTTGTGCTGTTGTGTTCCCATCAGAAATAATCTCACTTCTTGTCACTTCCAGTCATTAAAGGACTGGCTTTTGTTAGTTAGTTTGTTAGTTATTTTTGTTAAAGGGGTATTAAAAATTATTTAACAATAAAAAAAAGTGAAAAACCTATATACAGAGGAAAATCCTTTATATTGATTACCAATTAAAACAATATTCCCAAGATTTTTTTTTTTTTTTTTTGGCTGAAACATATTGATTAGAGAAGGGACAAAAATGAGGTACTGGAATATTTCTTAATAATGTTTTTCATGTTAGAAGTTAGTGTGTCACCTGAAGACATGGTAAAGGTAAAGCAACATCTGCTCCATCCAAAGTAGTGAAATTTACTGCTGTTTTCTTAATTGTGATATTGTGATAAACAAAAAAAAAAAAAAACATGTACAATTTTGAGTGTAATATTTTAATCCAATACAGTAAGATGAAAGTGATGGGGCCATGAACTGCAAACAGAAATGTGTGTGTTTGTGTGTGCAGGAGAACCCATACATGATGAGAAAGGTGAATTACCAAGAGTTTGAGGGGAACGAGCAGTATGAGGGTTTTTGTGTGGACATGTTGAGAGAGCTGGCTGGTATCCTCAAGTTCAACTTCCGCATCAAACTGGTGGACGATGGCCTGTATGGGGCACCTGAACCCAACGGCTCGTGGACGGGCATGGTGGGAGAGCTGATCAACAGGGTATGTAGTCGCACTCATCAACTTGTTCTCTACTGAAATAACAAGTATTTTCACACGGTTCCATTCAATTCAATTCCATGTCATTTTCCTTACTGTGTCTTGATGACTTTTCTAAGAATTTCTGTTGTGCTTCTACAATGTTTTATTGCTCTCTTTCTTTTTTTTCTTTGGAACAGAAAGCTGATATGGCTGTAGCTTCTTTTACCATCACATCTGAGAGAGAGAAGGTCATTGACTTCTCAAAACCCTTTATGACCCTGGGCATCAGTATTCTCTACAGGGTCCATATAGTAAGTCACAAATACACACACACACACACACAGAGAGAGAGAGAGAGAGAGAGAGAGAGAGAGAGAGAGAGAGAGAGAGAGAGAGAGAGAGAGAGAGAGAGAGAGAGAGAGAGAGAGAGAGAGAGAATCAACACAGTGGCATCAGTTTACGTATTCTAGCAACAAAACAATACAAAAACATAATTTTTTTTAAGTTTAAACTTAAGGGGGGGGGGGGGGGTTTGTGACTAAATCAATCACAAATTTCTAAATCAAATTTGTGATTGATTTAGATTAATTTGAATAATGAATTGGCACATAAAGTTGTAATTAATTTTCATTAGGAATTTAACTCATAATTGTTGACTGATTTCAGGTTTTAATACCCTTAGAGAGACCAATTGTTTTATAAGCAAAACCTGACCCACACTCACTCAAACGGATAACTGGTTAGTGAAATATTGGCTATATATCTTTAGGTAAACACTAAACCGTTCTGCTTTCGATGGAAGAGTATTAAAAATCAATTTCTGGTGACTCTGCTTTGCCGTTTTGATCAATAGCGCCATCTTGCGTCCGGAGTAAAACATGCAAGATTAAACCATTTGAATGAACTGAGAGGATGAGATGATACACATTGGTGCAAATAGCTTGAAATTTGATGGGAAATTCTCCTGTTTGTCCTGTCCTGAATGACAACAGCCAGTATACAGAGTGTATAATCTGGATAACTAAGGGTGATAGATAGATAGATAGATAGATAGATAGATAGATAGATAGATAGATAGATAGATAGATAGATAATGTGTCTACATGCCTAAATATGTAATTTACTTTATTTACTCCATTTACTTAATTTATGTAATTAATAGATTGAATATTTATAGTGTACCTAATCCCTTTTGGCTTTTATTGCTGCCACTTTCCTTCCTTCAGTTGCATTAATTTACCTCTCTTTCTCTTCCACTGTCTCTCAGGGCAGGAAGCCAGGTTATTTCTCCTTCCTGGATCCCTTCTCACCGGCTGTTTGGCTCTTCATGCTGCTGGCTTACCTCGCTGTCAGCTGTGTGCTTTTTCTTTCTGCTAGGTACACACACAAACACACACCAACACTCTCTAAAACTTCTAAAAATGATGGTCTTAATCAGTGTGTTTGTCTTGTTTTCCAGTAAAAATATCTTACCCTTTATAGTATAGTGAAGAAATAAATATTTAATGCTCCATGCTAGATTTCTCTCTCCCTGTGTGTGTGTGTGTACTTGTGTCAGGTTGAGTCCGTATGAATGGTATAACCCTCACCCGTGTCTGCGTGAGCGCAAAGACCTGCTGGAAAATCAGTACACGCTCGGAAACAGCCTGTGGTTTCCTGTCGGGGGCTTCATGCAGCAGGGGTCAGAGATCATGCCCCGAGCCCTATCCACACGCTGTGTTAGTGGGGTCTGGTGAGTTTGAGCGTGTGCTGGGGCTCCATATGTGTTGATGTTCATTTTAACAGAGTCAATGGACACATTACACAGCACAGCTATGGGCTTTTTGCACTCTGCTTCCATCATTTATGTCCTCTCTCTCTCTCTCTCTCTCTCTCTCTCTCTCTCTCTCTCTCTCTCTCTCTCTCTCTCTCTCTCTCTCTCTCTCTCTCTCTCTCTTTTAGGTGGGCATTCACTCTTATAATAATCTCCTCATACACAGCGAATCTGGCTGCTTTTCTGACAGTGCAGAGAATGGAAGTGCCAATTGAATCGCCCGATGACCTGGCTGATCAAACCAATATACAATACGGCACCATTCATGGAGGAAGCACCATGACCTTTTTTATGGTACAAATCATAATATTTAAGTGTCTATAGGGACAGAAATATGAACACATGCTGGCTTGCACATGTAAATGTTCATTCACATGTGAATCATACACAAGTGTAAACAAACCTCACAATCATCATGTTTTCAGGCCATTACACGTTTGATTTTGAAGTGACATAAAGCGATGATATCTAAGTGGCTGAGATGTTGCTTACTTTTTAATTAGTCCTCCCATTAATGCCATAATTTTGTTCCTTCAGACTGATTCATGAATCTGCTCGAAAACAAGTGGCAGGATTTATCGCACGAACCAATCATATCCAATCATAGTGCGATGGAGGCATTGCCTCCTCTCACGTGACTTTGCCACTTTCATTCTTAATTAAAAAATAAAATTGACAATGTTTATCAAATTAAAAAAAATATATGTAAAAATTGACTAGTCCATAAGGTTGCAAAATTAGCCTAAATTAAGCCATCTTCAGTTTTCTCCAAAATATTTTGTGTGGGATACAAGTTTATCTAATAGGTATCAGCAAAAAAACTTGAGATTTGTGCCTCTAATGCTTTATACATCTCCTTTCACTGAACATTTGTTGAAAAGGGAAAAAACGTGTTTAAATATTTTTAGGCACAATTTTGTACCATATTCTTGGAATTGCCAGCAGGCATATATTTGCATATGTGTATGGATGGGTTTTGTGTCTCTTGTTTATTTTCTTGTTGGTTTTTCGTGTAGATTACCCTTGGCGTAATGACTGTGTATTTTCTTATCAGGTTTTTGTTTGCTCAAGTGTTTTTACCATCTATGTGTGTGTCACTGTTTTCTTTCTGTTTGTTATTGTGCATGTCAAATAGAGTTTAAATGTTTATTTATGATGTGTACACTGAGGAAACATCCTCTCCTCCCCTCTCTCAGAACTCCCGTTATCAAACGTATCAGCGGATGTGGAACTACATGTATTCTAAGCAGCCCAGTGTCTTTGTGAAGAGCACAGAGGAGGGCATTGCACGAGTCTTGAACTCGAAATATGCCTTCCTCCTTGAGAGCACCATGAACGAGTACCACCGCAGCCTCAACTGCAACCTCACCCAGATCGGAGGCCTGCTGGACACCAAGGGTTATGGCATTGGCATGCCTCTAGGTAAGAGAGAGGATCCCTCAATTAATAAAATTGAAAGATAAAAGTACACATTTACGATAGAAGCCTCACAGGCAATGTAGCAGCACTGTGATTCATGTGGTTTTGAAACCATAACACCATAATAACACTTAAAAAACTTTGACAAAATATAAATCTGCTCACTTTCACTTTGCATACATACAGTTGCAATCAAAATTATGCAATCAGGTTTATTGGCAAAATGTACAGACTTTCAGGCTGTTTGCAATGAACATTCAAACAAAAGTTATTGAAATAGCTCAACACAACAAATGTTTCAAGTGGTTTCCCCAAATTCAACTGAAAATGCTACTTTTTATGACTTCTGCAGTCGCAAAACTATTCAACCCCTTTATGGCAAGCATCTTTAGTAAACCTGCTGCTAACGAGATGTATAACCAGACACCAGCTTCTGGCAGCGTTTCTGAGGAATCTTCGCCACATGAGCAATGGCCTCCAGCTCCAGTTCAGTAATATTCTTGGGTTTGCGTGCTGCAACCAGTAGAATCTTCCAGGACTTCTTCTGCAACCAAGCCTTGGTGGAATTTGAGGTATGCTTGGGATCATTGTCCTGTTGGAAGGTCCAATGATGCCCAAGCTTCAGCTTCCTCACTGATGGCAAGACGTTTTCTCCAAAGATTTGCTGATACTTCAATGAATCAATCTTGCCTTCCACACGCTGCAGGTTTCCAGTGCCAGATGCAAGATTTCGGATGCAAAACAGCCCCAGAGCATCAATGAGCCACCACCATGTACAAAAATGGCATTATATGACCCCTTTAAGCAAGTTAATATGAATGTTTAGGGTATAAATGAAGACTTTGTAATATACTTTTATTAAAAATTCTCATTAGTATTTTAAGAAAACACTCATTTTACCTGGTCAAAAACAGCTCTGTTTTCAGCACGCCGTTTCAGTGCATATGCCTTTAAATGATAATGAGCTTCGCTCACCCCGCCCCTCTGTTCTGCTGGCGTTTTGATATAACGCTCGTGGTGTGTTGCCTTGACAACAGTTGAGGGTATATTTTGGAGAAAGAATGGCAGCGGGAGTCCCTGAGGACACATCTGTGCAACCGTATCAGTTTGAACCGGAGTCGGACACGGAACAAGATGACGGCCGCAAAGAAGTTCGACAATTAAGGCTCGAACAGGACGTTTCTGAAATGGTTGGTTAACGTAATGTCACTTTGATCTATTTTTGTATGCACTGGCAGGGTAGAGTAGTGAGATATGAACGCCATGTGTTTACTGATGTATACGTTAGTTCATTGACAGATTGACGTTACAACTAATGGTCATGAAAAACTTTTGTTCGCGATTTGCAAAGATTAATATAAAGGTTAATAAAATTTTACACTCACTTCTTATGGAGGTGCAGAGGGAACATAAATAGTTGCTACCGATTCTTTTTTCAGGAGCAGCTTCTTAACAAAACCAGCTCATACTGACCCTCGTTTATAAAGCAGTCTGGTGAGAAATTATTCGCGCAAATATGAACGCATTGACGTTGCTCGTGGGGAATATTCCCTTTGAAAACAAAACTCAGCCACTGCGTCTTCAGCGGTTTGGATTTAGGAACATCAAAATGACTCTGTGTTCGTTATTACACCCAAGAACAGAACACCACAATCACTTAGACGCCATTCTGCTCCAGCGTATCAACAATGACGGACTATGATGATCGCTCGCTCAGTGCGGGTCTGTGTTCAAACGCTGCTGTCAATCAACAATCGTGGGAGGGGCGTTCGACCGTGTGACGTCACACGGTCGAACGGCTCGATTTGAGGCAAAGGAAAAACATGTAAGGAGATTAAAACAAAAACACTGGATGGATTTTTATCATTATATGATGGTTGTGTGCAGGCACTGCCAACACACATTTCAGTACAATCAACTTGTAAAAGTGCATGTACCATTATATGACCCCTTTAACTGTAGACAGTGTTCTTTTCAGCATATGCTTCATTCTTCCTCTTCTTCCTCCAGACACTTTTTCTGCCCCGTCCAGGTAGTATAACCACTGTTCCTTTAACTTTTAACTTGTGATAAATGCTTCCAACGGTGTCTCTAGGAACATTTAATGCCATCACTATCTTTTTGTATCATGTTCCTTGTTTGTGAAGGAAACATCTTCTCTTAACTTTTTGGACCATTCTTTTGACTCAGCCATATTTCTAACATGCAGTCAAACTTGACAAACCTAGTCAGTTTAGATATTTCATGTGTTCTAGCTCAAGCAAACCTGGTGCAACTAATGATGCCCTTGATTAGTTGCATCAGGTGTGCATGAGACCAACACCTGTTTTGCAGATTTGTACTGTTTTGAGGGATTCTATTCAGGGGATTGAATAATTTTGAGACTGCTGAAGTCATTAAAAGTTGCATTGCAAACAGCTAAAAGTCTGTAAATTTTGCCATTAAACCTGATTTGCAATGGTGGTTGAATAATTTCGATACTGCTCTGTATTTATCCATATACGTCTACATATTTCTGTCATGACAACTCTCGGAGAGATAGGCATGGTAATGGATATGGCAATGTTAATGTATTTGGTCGTGGCGGAATAGATCTGCTTCGCTGCTGCTGCTGCAGAGCAAATACCGAGACTTGCTACTGCCAATACATTTACAGACATTGCTGTGAGCATGTAAGACATTCTGCTCTGCTGCTGCACATGTAGCATACATGACATTTTAGATGTGTCATGATGTGAATAGCTTATTGGGACTTCCTCATGCTAGACATCTGCATTATTCTGTCTCCCAGGTTCTCCTTTCAGAGATGAGATCAGTCTGGCAGTGCTGCAGTTGCAGGAGAATAACAGGCTGGAGATCCTGAAGAGAAGATGGTGGGAGGGAGGGCAGTGTCCCAAAGAGGAAGACCACCGTGCCAAAGGCATGAACCTCTTCTCCACCTCAAAGCAATAATTTCCCCCCAGTCTCATCCCTGCTGAGATATCCATTTGGAACCAGTAGTTGTGTTCAGAACATGTTAAATGGTCAAAAAGCTACATTGTCACAAAAAAAAAAAACAGCTGGTAGTTCCAAAAACCAGCAGGGAGCTAGTTTGTTTCTGGTCCAATATGAGCTTGAACCAGCTCATAACCAGCTAGAAACCAGCTACCATGTTCGAAAACACAGGGGGCAGGGTTTCACACACCCACTGTAGCTGTCAAATGCAAGCAGTTTTGTGTGTGTTTAAAGTCGCGATGAAATGGAAGTATAGACAGTTCTTTTCTTCCATAATTTGACGTACATCCAAGTGAAACGGGTTGAAAAAATGTAGGACAGGCACTTGATTGACTGCTGATTAGATTGAGGCAGAGCTGAATGTGAGCTTAAAGTCAACTGTGTGAAAGAGGCGGGGTTTAAACAGACTAAATGTTTGGAGAAGTCTGGGATATGTCACCAGAGAGAGGTCTGTCATTTTCAGAATATCAAGTGACATTTTAATAAAAAATGATTGGGTAAAAACTAAATTTAAAACCAATTAAATGCATAGATTAATCGTTCACAATAAATAAATGCATCTCGAAAATAGGGTGAATTTCCACTCAGTGCCGACTTAAAGAATGTAAATGTAAGATTTCTGTCTGTGATGAAAGATTGTCATAGTGAATTAAACACTTTTAAACAATCTGCATCTGTTGCAGGTCTTGGGATGGAGAACATTGGCGGTATATTTGTGGTGTTAATCTGTGGCCTGATTATTGCTGTGTTTGTGGCTGTGATGGAGTTTGTGTGGTCCACACGCCGATCAGCTGAAACAGACGAGGTACGGCCTCTCTCCTGCGACCGCCAATATCACAGTCACACTACAGTAGGTTACCAAAGCAACCCGCCGACTCCTCGCGTTAGTGTGTGTTGTAGTGAAGTCGAAGTCAGTGGTTGTCACGGTGTGTGCATGTCTACTTGTGTAATATATAGTTCTGTGATATTCACGTATATGCACTGCCAGCCAAAAATGTTGAATTAAGAAATTTTTATGTTTTTGAAAGTAGTCTCTTATGCTTAACAAGGCTTGTTTTTTTTATCAAAATGCACTATCAACAGTAATAATGTTAAATATTATTAAAATTTTAAATAATTGTTTTCTTTTCTTTTTTAAATATTTTTTGTCATGTGATGACAATGCTGGATTTTCATAAACATTTCTTATCAGTTTTTGCTGATAAATATTTAGTGAAAACTATGATACATTTCCTCAGGATTCTTTAATGAGTAGAAAGTTCAAAAGAATAAAAAACTTTTTTTTTTAAATAGTAGTGTATCATGGTTTCCACAAAAAACATTAACAGGCACAACTGTTTTCAACATTGATAAGTAATAAGAATCGTTTTTTGTGGATCATATGACAATGAATGATCATGTGATACTGAAGACAAATGACAAAGTAATGATGCTGAAAATCCAGCCTTTTACATTTGAATTACATTTGAAAATATATTAAAATAGAAAACAGCTATTTTTAATTGTAATAATATTTCACAACTTTACTGTATTTTTGATCAAATAAATTCCACCAGGGTGAGTATAAGAGTGCTATTTCAAAAACATTAAAAATCTTTATTATTCCAAACTTTTAACCAGTAGAGTATATATGTACATATATATCTGTGATATATACTTCTGTGATATTAATCTTCTTTTGTTCAAGCCTTTAATATATATTTTTATCATTCAGGTGTCCGTATGTCAGGAGATGTTGACAGAATTCCGTAACGCTGTTTCCTGCAAGAAAAGTTCTCGCCTTCGCCGCCGCCGCCCCCTGTCCAGCTCTCTGGCCCTTCGGCACCCCACCCGCATCACTTTAGGCGCCCCGCGACCCCTGCGACTTGTCAGAGAGATGCGCCTTAGCAACGGAAAGCTCTATAGCGGTACGGGAGCCCTGACAGGAAGCTCAGGGCCAGGAGGAGGGCCCTCAGACATGGGCCCCGGGCCCCAGCGACTCCTGGAGGACCCATTAGGTGCCAACAGCACCCCCTCAGTGGCCCTGGGACCGCCCGCAGTGACAGTGCCTCTGCCGCGGGGCTGCACTCATGTGCGCATATGCCAGGAGTGCCGGCGTATCCAGAGTCTCCGCACAACCTCTTGTACACGAATCCCTCCCTCCTCGGCCCCTCTGCCTCGCCTGGCTCCGCCCCCTCCTCACTCATCCTCCAATACAGACAGTGAAGGTGGAGGTGGGCCGAGCCCATGCCGGATAGGACACTCCCCACCGGCGAAAGGCTGCACTTTACCGCCACCTCAGTCTAGCAACAACACAGACCTAATGGGAGAGCAGAAATGAGGAAAAAAGACACTGTCAAAAGGGGAGACAAAAGTATGACACATTTTTGCAATATTTGCCCCCTTGTTCAAAATCATAGACATATGCGCTTTCCATCTTTTCCTTGGTACGACAGAATTATCCTTTTCTTTTGGATAGCCATGTGTCATATCAAGTATTCTTTTGTACTATTGAACGATGTACTACAGTATAACAGTGACCATGTCTGAAGTAACCTTGAGATTTAAGATTGTCCGCCTCAGTCTGAGGATTTAGAAGTTAATAAACTTCCCCCGGCGGTTCTGATCTTCAGGCAGCACACAGACGTCTGCTTGCAATCGAGGCAGACTGTGGCACAGACTCTCCTTCCCTTCCCTGACTGAATTCTCTCTGTTACGATAGAGGTCACACACAGGAAGTAGCACAGAGTAGTCTCGTCTGAACGTCATTCTCTCAATGACACTGTACAGATCAGAGCCAGACCGCGACAGAATGAGAGCACACACGTTAATGGAGAACAATGACGCCAAGTTGTTAATTAAAGATATTCTAAACAGATATTCATACTTTTCTGTACTATACTTATTTTTAAATTCACTGTCTGTGTAATTTAATTCTGGGGTTGTGTTGTCTGAATTGGAAATTAAAAAATAGAGATACTTTATTGATACAGAGGAGATCAACTCTGAATGAATATGTATGTTACTGGAAATGAGGAGCTGTTTATTCATTAAAACATGGACTTTGATCTGTCTGTAGACAAGTGTGAGTCCGTAACCAGTGCTGGAGATCACACCACATGCCTCAACCCAAATTTGCAAACGCTGCATTTACCACAGATCAGTGTTTTTAGAAACAGAAAGTCAGACATCTGTTGTTGTGGTTCAACTTACACTTGTATATATTTTCCCACACACATCACATGCACTGAAAAATGACTGATGAAAGAAGGAAGGAAATAGCAGAATCACAGATGTTCTAAAAGGTCACCGAAACTCTTTTTTATTTTAAACCATTTCTATACAAATGTGAATTGCATTATAAAATTATGCTTATTTACATTAATATTAGATCAGAGAATATTTTAAGTGAATGCATTAAGGTCAAGGGGTCAGTTTTAGGAGTTGAGGGGGCTTCCACATGTTAAAACTATAGATCGACAAAGAAACTCATTTGGAATAAAAAATATATGAATTTGTCTTTTAACAACATGCATTTTTCAACAACAAAAAAACTACTCTCAACCCTTATGCTGTGTACAGACTGGATTGTGTTTTTCTGCTTTCTGCAGACAATTTTGTTCTTCTAAATTGAAATCAAAGCCAACAAAGGGATAAAATGTGTTATGTAATCAGCACATTTCTTTCGTCTTGAGAAGATTTTTGACTTTTGCATAGACCACACCGAACCATGTCTAAAGAGAACAGACACTCTTTTTATCAAAAAACACCGTAAGTGTCAGTTTTTGAGCCATTTTGGCAGAATAACAATTAAGGCCTGTTTACACTAAGAACAATAACTATATTAGTGCCACACCAATGGACGATACAGTTCTGTTTATTTTAGTTGCATGCTGCAGTTATGCCGTCCGCCGCTTTAAATGCTCAAGGTGGCTGGATTCTGATCGGCTGTGTAAGAAAAAATTATGTGGACGTCACGTCGAAGATCTCAAAACGTCTCGGTTACGGATGTAACCCTCGTTCCCTGAGTAGGGAACGGAGACGTTCCGTCGGATGACGACGAATGGGGGTTTCGCTTAGAAGCCAATCAACTTCAAATACTTCAAAACGAGCCAATGGCAAAGAAATGCCATGGGTCTGCGGAATTTGCATAGCGTAACTCCGCCTCACCTCGTGAGTATATAAGGAGAACGCTGGCAGCAAACCGGCATGTTTCTTCGCTGAGGAGCCAACCTGAGTTCAGGCGATCCCCGCGGTACAGCGGAAGTGGCAGGAAGACGGAATGTCTCCGTTCCCTACTCAGGGAACGAGGGTTACATCCGTAACCGAGACGTTCCCTTTCGTTGTCACTCCGAGTTCCGTCGGATGACGACGAATGGGGATACCAGTCTAATCACGCCATTTCTCAGCTGTCTTCCAGTGCCCTGCGTAAATCTGAGATCCCTGTCGTGAGACTAGCACGGACGAAGGACTCCTATTTAACACAGGAATACCAAGGTACACTGGGGAGCATATCCCAGATCTTAGGGAAGTATGCAATTACTGCCAACCCAGAGGGGGGGACTTAAGAATACACATATGACCCGAGGGATGCATATGGGGAATCACTGGGGTGTCCAGCCGCAGGTGGAATATTTCAACCCCAGGGGTGGCAAGGTGGCTTGCCAAGGGAAAGACACATGCTCAGAGAGGCTTACAGTGGGAATACACATGTGGGGGTAGCTCCGGGAGGTACCATGCACACGGGAGGCACCTAGCCGACGCGCAGGCAAGAGACACTGGCGCCGACGTCAGGAGTGCTGGAGGAACTCAGGGCTTTCGGAGAAGCTCACCTGAGGAGAATATCGCACGTATCCAGTCCGTGGAGTGGAGTGGCGAGCAAGCGAAGACACCTGAGCGGGTCCGGTACTAGCTGGTTGAAGCGAGTACATGAGAGGACACTGGCTCCACTCGGAGATTGTAGAATCTGGCGAATGTGTTAGGTGTCGCCCAGCCTGCAGCTCTGCAGATGTCTGTTAGCGAGGCGCCATGCGCTAGAGCCCAAGAGGATGCCACACTCCGGGTGGAGTGGGCAGTCACACCAAGGGGGCACGGTCGACCTTGCTGCTGGTATGCCAAAGCAATGGCGTCCACTATCCAGTGAGACAACCTTTGCTTGGAGAGAGCCTTTCCCTTCAGCTTCCCACCATAACAGACAAAGAGCTGGTCTGAGGTCCTGAAACACTGCGTTCTGTCTACATAGATGCGAAGAGCACGTACTGGACAGAGCAGTGCCAAGGCTGGGTCTGCCTCCTCCGGGGGCAGCGCTTGTAGGTTCACCACCTGGTCCCGGAAGGGAGTGGTAGGAACCTTGGGCACATATCCAAGCCGGGGTCTCAGGATCACGTGAGAATAGCCCGGCCCGAATTCTAGGCACGCTTCGTCAACGGAGAATGCGTGCAGGTCCCCCACCCTCTTAACGGAGGCCAATGCAGTCAGAAGCGCTGTCTTCATAGATAGGAAGTTAAGCTCGACTGACTGCAAAGGCTCAAAGGGAGCACTACGCAGGGCAGTTAGGACCACTGCGAGGTCCCAAGAGGGTACGAGAGGAGGGCGAGGAGGATTCAGTCTCCTCGCTCCTCTCAGGAACCTGACGATCAGGTCATGCTTCCCCACCGACTTACCTTCTATAAGATCATGCTGTGCGGCAATAGCGGCGACATAGACCTTGAGGGTGGAGGGAGACAGCCTTCGCTCCAACCCCTCTTGAAGGAAGGAAAGCACGACGTTGATCGAACATCTCCGGGGGTCTTCTCGGTGAGAAGAGCACCAGTTGACGAAGAGGTTCCACTTCAACGCATAGAGGTGTCTCGTGGACGACGCTCTAGCGGAAGTGATGGTAGCCGCCACCGCTGGTGGCAGGGTACTCAAACCTGCCTCGTCCCGTCCAGGAGCCACACGTGGAGGTTCCAAAGATCGGGACGAGGGTGCCATAGGGTGCCCCGTCCCTGAGAAAGTAGGTCCTTCCTCAGAGGTATGGGCCAAGGAGGTGCTGTCGCGAGGAGTACAAGTTCGGAGAACCAGGTCCGGGTGGGCCAGTACGGCGCGACCAGAGTGACCTGCTCCTCGTCCTCCCTGACCTTGCGCAGGAGTTGCGCAAGAAGGCTCACTGGGGGAAACGCATATTTGCGGCCCCGCGGCCAGCTGTGCGCCAGAGCATCCGTGCCGAGCGTGCCCTCGGTCAGGGAATAATACTGGGCGCAATGGGTCGAGTCGTGAGAGGCAAACAGATCTATCTGTGCGTCCCCGAACTGGTCCCAAATCAGCTGAACCGTCTGGGGATGGAGTCGCCAATCTCCGGGGAGGGGCTGAAGCCGTGACAGCTCGTCGGCTGCACAGTTCAGGGCTCCAGGGATGAAAATGGCTCGAAGCGACCTCAGATGCTTCTGACTCCATAAGAGGAGGTGGCGGGCGAGTTGCGACATACGGCGGGAGCGCAGACCACCTTGACGGTTGATGTACGCTACGGTCGCGGTATTGTCTGATCGGACTAGTACATGCTGGCCCGAGAGCACGGCTCGGAAGCGGCGCAGGGCGAGCTGTACAGCCAGCAACTCGAGGCAATTGATGTGCCATAAGCGGTGGGGTCCTGTCCAGGAGCCCGCGGCAGCACGTCCATTGCACATGGCACCCCAGCCCGTGGTGGAGGCATCTGTCGTTACAACAACATGCCGGGAAGCTCGTTCCAGAGGCACTCCTGCCCGTAGAAAACTGAGGTTCCCCCACGGGGTGAAGGTCTGACGGCAGGTCGGAGTAACTGGTACTCGGAGCGTGCCGTGTTGCCATGCCCACCTCGGGACTCGGTCGCGAAGCCAAAGCTGAAGCGGTCTCATATGAAGCAATCCGAGCGGCGTTGCCGCGGCTGCAGATGCCATATGCCCCAGGAGCCTCTGAAAAAGTTTCAGTGGAACCGCACTCTTGCCCTCGAACTGTCTCAGGCAAGTCAGCAGTGACTGCGCGCGCTCGCTCGTAAGCTGCGCGGACATGGCGACCGAGTCGATCTCCATACCGAGAAAAGAGATCCTCTGCGCGGGGCAAAGTTTGCTCTTCTCCCAGTTGACCCGAAGGCCCAAACGGGCTACATGGCGGAGTACCAAATCCCTGTGTTCGCAAAGCTGATCTCGAGAGTGAGCTAGAATCAGCCAGTCGTCGAGATAGTTCAGAATGCGAACCCCGTGTTCCCGGAGGGGAACAAGGGCTGCCTCGACGACCTTCGTAAAGACGCGAGGGGACAGGGCTAGCCCGAATGGGAGAACTGCGTACTGATATGCCTGACCCTCGAAAGCAAACCGAAGGAACGGTCTGTGTCGAGGGAGAATGGAGACATGAAAGTAGGCGTCCTTCAGGTCGATCGCTGCAAACCAATCCTGGTGCCGCACACATTCGAAAACGCGTTTGGCGGTGAGCATCTTGAACGGCAGCCTGTGAAGGGAGCGGTTCAGAACGCGCAGGTCCAGGATTGGCCGTAACCCACCGGTTTTCTTCGGGACAATGAAATACGGGCTGTAGAAGCCGGTCTTCATTTCGGCTGGAGGGACAGTCTCGATCGCACCCTTCGCCAGCAGGGTAGCAACCTCCGCTCTCATGATAGGGGCATTGCCACCGACCAAAGTGGAGCGGACTCCCCTGAAGCGGGGAGGAGACCGCGCGAACTGAATCGCGTAGCCGAGCCTGATCGTTCGTGCGACCCAGCGGGACAGGTTGGGAAGCTCTAGCCAGGCTCCCAGGGACTGAACCAGCGGGGTCATGCGAACCACAGACTTCCCGTCGGTGGGGCAGCGAGGCGGTATGACTGACCCAGACGTGGACGGCATAGCGGCCCGATGTGGGGGTGCAGTCATGAACCGCGCCCTGACAGAGGAGACCAGGGAAGGACGAACGTTCCACGGGGGTCTGCTCTGCCAGGGGTCTGGCGACAGAGGGGGATGAGAGTGGTGCGGTCCGGGGACGGCACGCACTGTCATCCGACTCTGGGACAGAGGAGGACGAGGGGTGCACGGCCCGGGGGCGGCGCACCGTGTCGTCCA